ATTAGATTGTTCTTATAGTAAACTTAGTCCAGTTCTTTTGATGACCTATTTCTCCCTATATTTGAGCTAGGTCTGTGTAAACCCCAGAGGCCATGTCCTCTGGAGGTGGTGATAGTGGTGGATATATGTGCTTTGGAGTGGGATGGGGAGAAAAATTAAAAAGGTGTATCTATAGAGTTGGAAAATAGCCTATACAGTACGTTTTTACATGGGAGATTTGAACATTATGCCTGAGTGGTTATCACTGTAGCAAGTGGTGAGTCATGTAGGAACTTCTGCTACCTATTTCATCTTATATCTTCATCAGACTAAACAATTACTGGAGTGAGGAATTGAAGAATACAGGAGGAAGATATTTACCCCTCTAAACTGCTTCAGTTTGTAACCCTCCTCTGCCACTTAGAATCTCTGTGATCCTAGGCCAAGTTCCTTTTATTCTCACCATACTTCAGTTTTCTAAATTCTAAAATGAGCAGATTAATCATACATACCTTACAGGTTGGTTGTGAAGAGTAAGTGAAATAATCCATGCTTGAATTATAAATGTTAGCTCTCAGTGTTTACAAAGAATATTTTGCTCTGTACCTGAGACAATATATTTCAGTAGGATAAATTTTCAAATAATAAATCTTTACCCTTCATTCAAGGTAAAAAACATACTTTGATAGCCCATAAAAATTTAACTCTCTTACCTTTGAATCTCTGTTTTAAAATAATTCTGTTCAAAAAGCAGGGAAATAATGTTTCTTGGTTGAATTTCATCTGAATACAAGCCTTCCAGTGCCAAAAATAAATTTCTTCAGATTCTAAAGAGATATTGCAAATCCCTTCCTTTCTTTCATTCTCAGACTAAAAACAAATTTATGGTGTTTCCTATCTTAAAAACATCCTTAATTGTGTATATTTTCATATCAAAAAATGGAGGGAAAAAATAACATTTAATTGTTTTGTTTCTGTTTAAATAAGTTTTTCCCAGTGGAAATTGAAGTATTTAAAGTTGGAGTCTCTAAGAGATGGCACAATAGGAAACATGCATAAGAATTATATAATAGATGGCATTGTTTCTTTTTAGGCAAATGTGTAGACTCTTTTCTGGCCCTTCACCCCAACCTTACAGAGTATATGGTTGAAAGGTATGTCCTGCTCCATTTTTCAGGAAGGGTAGAATGACCTCAGGGAATATCACTTCAATCCCAAACAAATATCTAGAAATAGAGATATTTTAATTCTTCTTGATAGATTTTAATGTATTTCCTTATCCTTACAACCACATATAATGCAAATCTCTTGGAACAGTTTTATCCTTTATAGGTGGATTTGATTTAATCTTTCACATGAATATTAAGATAAGAAAGCTCCCTTCTTAAAAGCTTTCCCTGTGGCCATCCCCAATCAAGGACTGCAGTGACTCACTATTGCTGATTCTTTCCATTCAAATTCCTTTCCTTAGTTTTCAAGATTTCATCTAATTTCTACCAAATTAACTTTACCTATGAACAGTAATTAAGTGACAGGCCAAAAGGTCATAAAAGTACCTGTCAGCTGTCTCCTGTATTTGTTATGCTCATTTGTATCACTCATGTGCCTTCCTTTTTTCCTTCACATTTCTAAATTAGACCTATCCTTTAAAGATAAGCTTAGGTCTTAAATGTAGATTTTTTGTTTGTTTGTTTTTCCTTTTCAGTTAGTTAACAAGTCTCTTCAGATCAGGTACCATATTGACCATGATAGGTATTTGCCAAAGGGGGGGGGGGGGCTGCATCTTCTGGCCTCCCCTAACCACATCAGGAGGAAGACAGAATCATCAATAGCCCTAGGCCTATCCCTGTGAGGCCAGACATGCTGCCTCCCTCCAGCCCTTGCACCAACATTCCTCCTGCAACACCCACCACTTCTCTGCTAGGTTCTATAATTCGCTGCAGTAGCCACACAGAACTCACAGATTATGGAGTTTATTAAGGAAGCACCAGACTACGATTCAGGAGGTACACGCTCAGTCTCCCTCCCAGCAGTGCGTGTGTCTCGGTGTCTCTTTCTCAGCAGCGCATGTCTCTCAGGAGCATGTTTCTCTCAGCAAAACATCTTTCTCACCCCACAATCAGAGAGATTCCTTTTGCCTCTACGAGGGCTCCTTTTGAGCCTGGCAGAGTAGCCAAACTAACCAATCATAAAATTAGAATTCTAAGCACCTGAGAGAGAGCAAACTTCCCAGAATATTGCTTTGTGCCACTCTCAACAGAAATACCCCATGTGGATAACTTTAGCAATCAAGAGCTCCTCAGTTGCTCACAGCAAATTCCACCGTGGAGTTTACAAAGACTTATGCCTAGAAAAGCCACACCAGGTAATTTACTACACTGCAGTATTCCATAAATATTTCTAGTGACCTATAGACTTGTGCTCAAGCCGGTGAAATCAGGCATAAAATGAATTATTAGTTGCTTAACCAAGAGACTAAGAAAACATAAATTGAACTTACTAAATGTATTGTGCATAAGTGCAAAAACGGCAAGGAGGCCACAAGTTCCAACCTCCTTTAATCCCACAAGAGGAAGACAGGATTACCAGCAGTAAACCAAGGCCTATTACTGCAAGGCCAGACATGCTGCCTCCCTCCAGCCCTTTCACCAACCGTTCCTCCCAGAGCACCCACCACCTCTCTCCTGGGTTCGATAATTCACTGCAGTGGCCACACAGAACTCACAGATTATGAGGTTTATTAGGGAAGCACCAGGCTACAATTCGAGTTCAAGAAAAATGCTCAGTCTCTCTCCTAGCCCACCATCCCTCGGCCAACAGTCTCTCACAGTCTCTTGCCCAGCAGTGCTGGTCCCTTGGTGTCTCACTCAGCAATGCGTGTCTCTTGTGCCTTTTTCCCAGCAGCACGTGTCTCTTTCCGGAGCGCGTGTCTCTTTCAGCAGCACGTCTTCCTCAACCAGCAGTCAGAGAGAGTTCTGCCTCCAGGACGCCTCCTTTGAGCCCGGAAGGGTGGTCAAACTAGCCAATCACAGCATCAGAACTCTAAGCACGTGAGAGAGAGTGGGCACCTCCCAGAACATTGTATTGTGCCACTCCCAACAGAAATAACCCAGGTGGATAGCTTCAGCAATCAGGGGCTGCTCAGTTGCTCATACAAAATCCCACCTTGGAGTTTACAAAGACTTATGGGTAGAAAAGCCACACTAAGTAATTTACTACACCGCAATAAGGATATACAAACAAAGTAAGAATGGATATATTAGAGTCATTTTTATACAAATTATACAGAGTACACCAGGAAAACAAAACTACCAATTAAGAAATAAAACATACCACTTCACACTCAGTAAGATTAAAAAAAAATTTTTAAAAATCCAGAAAACACCAGGTGTTGGTAAAGATGTGAATAAATAGGAACCTTTATGCATAGCTGGTGGAATTGTAAAATGATACAGCTGTTGTATAAAATAGTCTAGCAGTTCCTCAAAAAGTTAAACATAGAATTACCATATGACCCAGCAATTCTACTTCTAGGTATATATACCCTAGAGAATTGAAAGCAGGAATACAAACATACTTGTAAACCAATGTCCACAGCAACATTATCACGTAGTCAAAAAATAGAAACAACCTAAATGTCCATCAGTAGATATATGGATAAGCAAAATGTGGCATGTGTATACAATGGAATACTACTCAACAATAAAACACAAGTGAGATCCTGATGTTATAGCAAGATGCTATAGCATGGTTGTACTTTGAATACATGATGCTGAGTGAATTAAGTCAGTCACAAAAAGATAAATACTGTATGATCCCACTCATACAAAATATCTAGAATAGGGAAGTATATTTTAGACCTAAGTTTATTAGTGGTTACCAAGGGTTGGGGAGAGAGGAAGAAAGGGGCACTCACTGCTTTGTGGATACAGAGCTTCTGTTAAGGGTGATAGGAAAATTTGAAAACAGGTAAGTGTGATGATTGAACATCATGAACTAGACCAGCTTCCATAATAAATAAAAGCTATGGACTTTATTTCATTCATCATTTGGCTCCAATATCCCTCATATACACAGTGGGTGCTCAAAATGTATTTGTTAAATGGGTACACCCAGTTCCATGGGGTTGGAATGGAATCATGTTAGGTTACCCAACAATTTTCTGAACTATAAACCCATTGCCATTGAGTTGGTTCCAGGTCATAATGACATAGGACAGAGTAGAACTGCCCTATAGGTTTTCCAAGGCTGTAATCTTTACAGAAGCAGACTGCCACATCTTTCTCCCATGGAGCCACTGATGTGTTCCAGCTTCCAACTTTTTGGTTGGCAGCTGAACTCTTAACCACTGTGCCACCAGGGCTCCTGTATCATCTTATAATCTGAACAAAAAAGGACTTTGTTTCTGATGTGAAGAAGGGTCAGTCATATGCTAATTTTTCACTTAACCTTTTTTTTTTTTTTTTTTTTAAATGACTGACATTAAATGAGTTAATTTTTGGCATTGGCCTTCTAAATGATGCCTGTCCACATTAGTGTTATTCAGAGGCAAAGTCAGATGAGGTGCTTGACTGGGGCAGTTCACCTGTCAGATCCAACATCATAAGTGTTCTAAGGTGATTTCAGGGAGGATAGACACCTCCCATAAAGCAAGAAAATAATGCACTCAATTTTGATTATCAGTAAAGCCTCATGATCCTTACGACCTTTGGAGTTTTAAACGGGCCCCTTGCATGCGATAGCTAAGCATGCATTCATAGCAGTGTTGGCTTTTGATCCTGTAATGTTGGCTCTTCCTGTCATTTTGCAGGAGGATTCACCAAGCCTTAAGTAGTTCACCCACCCACCTTATCTCCATGTATTCTTTGTAAATATTAGCATAAAGTGCCTTTACCTCTTCTTAACCTACAAAATTTAATTTTTATTAGAGGGAAGAATTTAAGTTGTATTAGCGAAAAACCTGTTTTCCCTTTTTATTCATACATGGACTTTTTTTTTTTTTATCATTATTATTATTACAGGCCATGGTTGCTTGTTATCCAGGCAATGGAACGGGTTATGTGCGTCATGTTGATAATCCAAATGGAGATGGAAGATGTGTGACATGTATATATTATCTTAATAAAGACTGGGATGCCAAGGTATGCGACTTAATTGAGGTTTTGTTTGTTTCTCACAGGTTTTTGAGGATATTTCTCACAGGTGTTTTTCACACATATTTTTCTGACAGGTTGTTTTTTTCACAGGTATTAAGATTCATACTCCATATAGGTAAGACTGTTCTTAACAAACAGAACAGTTAAAAAATTTCTCTCTTAGATATGTTTCAGTCTTGCATATTAACAGTGAGTCTTTATAAAGTGATACAGATACTAATGCATCTCAAAAAATGATGAGAAGAAAGCCTTGACGATTTGCTTCTGAAAAGGCACAATCGTTGAAAACTCTGTAGAGCACAGTTCTATTGTGACACATTTAGGGTTACCATGAGTTGGAGTTGACTTGACTACAACTAGTTTGGCTGTTTTGTTTTGTTGTTCATCATTTCTGTTGCAACCAGAAGAATCCCAGCCAAGTACAGACTGCCACACCCGTGCTTCCAAGAAAGGGCACACTTCCCACCCACCCACCTGGGTATCTTGTTGTTGTTGTTGTTGTTATGTGCATTCGAGTCGGACCTGACTCATAGTGACCCCTCCTTGGGTTTCTGAGGAAGTATCACTCCTTGGGTTTCTGAGGAACTATCACTATGGAAGTAGATTGCCCCATCTTCCTTCCGAGGAGTGGCTGGTGCATTTGAACCACCAGCCTTCTGGTTAGCAGTCAAGTGCCTTAGGCACTAAGCTACCAGAGCTCCTTCTGGGTATCTTGCAGGAAAAAAAAACAGGGTTCCTTTAATTTCAGATATTGAAACATTTACCCAAGACTTAACTAACTTTTATAAAAAGTGACCTATATTAAAATGTCTTTTTATATAGTCTTTATAAACACAGTTCACAATGGCTTTTTGGGAAAATTATGTATAAATGATTTTTATGGATTATTTTCTATTTATTCCTACATCTTATTCTTTGCATTATTACCCACTGCTGTGGAGTCAGATCTGACTCATAGTGACCCCTCCTTGAATTTCTGAGGCAGTATCATTACAGAAGTAGATTGCCCAACCTTATAGAGATGTTATTTGGCATTGAGTTGCTTAATTGAATATTGAAGGCAGTTATGGAAAAACTAGAAGTTTATTAATAATGATGAAGTCTGTGAAACCAGTTAGAATGTAGAGTAACCTTTCTTGTTTTAAATATATGTTTCCTTAATATTGACTTGTTGTTGTTACGTGCCATTGTGTTGGACCCAACTCATAGCGACCCCTCCTTGAGTTTTCGGGACAGTATCACTATGGAAGTAGATTGCCCAACCTTCCTTCCGAGGAGTGGCTAGTGGGTTTGAACCGCTAGCCTTCTGGTTAGCAGTCAAGTGCCTTAAGCACTATGCTACCAGAGCTCCTTAATATTGGCTTGAATTTCACTTAAATGATTTTTGAAAGGTGTGTCATGTATTGGAGTTTGTATAGACTGATTATTTTTTGCCGTTGATTTTTGAAAATATTTTTTAACTTACTTTTTATTGAAGTACAGCATTCAAATAGAAAAGTGAACATAGTCTACCATTCATAACATTTTTACAGAGTGAACATATATATGTAGCAAGGATGATTTTTTCAAAAAATCAAGTAACCTTTAAAGTATCTCCTGTGCACGCACACAGAAACATATACACAGACAAGGAAACCATCCAAGTCTTAAATGTGCAAAAACTTAATCCTACCCTAAAAGGTGTTTTAAATTTAGCATATGCTCACATGCTTCAGTAATCTTTCCTCTCCCACACTTACTTAATTTCTTCTCATGTAGTCTAAGTTGAAAAAGTAAATTTAGAGGCATTATGTGAACAAACAAGCATGGCTTTTCCATAACAGCTTTCAGACTTTGAAACAGAAATAAATTAAGTAATTCAACTTAACTTTAAGGCATAAAACAAATTAGTCTGACTTTGGTTAAAACTTAAAAATTGATCTTTTTAAAGGTTTTCTGAAAAGCTAGAAAGTTATAAATATGTTTGATCAACTCCTAAGTTCTAGATTTTATTAGGCTTTTTTTCAGGCTGATCTTCTTTTAATTTTGATGTGACCTAGCTGAGACCATTAATGTTAAGGTTGTAAATTAGTACCTGGGTGGAAAAAAGTCTCTAGTATTTGTATATGTAGAACTGAAAACTTCCACTGCCAGACTACACTGAGTGTTCAGTGTGCTGGGGCTAGACAGAAGTGAATATAGCTCTCTTAGAGCTGTGAATATTTTGGAGGGTACAGCTCAATTTCAATTGATTATACCAAGTATTATGATATATTGCTATGGTAGCTAATAAGAAGTCCACTTAATTTCAGAAGTCAGGGAAGGTTTTCCAAAGAAAGACTGGAAACTTAAACCTTATATTTCTCTTTAAACATTTTCAGCAGATCACCTGTGATATTCCCAATGACTGAAATCAAAGGAAAGGAGATGGGAATAAAAGAAAGAAAAAGAAGACATGTTCTTATAATCTAGAAGTTCTTTAGAAATTTACATGGAAATTACTCTGAACAACACTGGAACCTGATAAAGGCTGGCACTGAATAACTTGAATTTAAATGTAATTAAGGATGAGCCTAATGAACAGTGCTATAACTGTGGATTCTAGATAGAGGCTCAGCTCCCATGATGTTTTGATTAAATATTAAAGTTCCTTTCAATTTTAAAAGTCTGCCTGCTAAGGGAAATACTAGTCTTCCTGCTAAGGCAGACTTCCGGTAAGATGGTGGAATAGGCAGACAACCTACACAGACCCTCTTCAACAAAGAAAAAGAGAAACCAATTGACAGAGATACAGAAGATAATCCCGGAGTCCTGAGCTTTGAAAGGAAGTGTACAGAAGTGGATTAGGCACCAACTAGTGGAAAAAACTGAATGAAAACTGAGTACAGAGATGGACAGAGCTGCTGACTGTCAGCTACTCTGATAAGACCAACAGCCTGAATATTTCCAAGAGGTGCTGGGACCTGATAATTGACCTAAACGTCAGCCCTGGTTGCCAAGGGCTGCAGGGATGACTGCGCTGGTGGCCTATGACTAGGAAGGGAAACAGCAAGGAGGGAGACAACCTGAGCTGTGGACTTTTGGCTGTGCAGGGTGCAGCAATTTTGATTGTTTACAAGTGGTGGCCATTTTGCATATTTAAAGTGATCAATGGTACAGCCACTTTGAATGTTTACAGGCTGTGGCCATTTTGGATATTTAAAGTGGCAGCATTCTCATTTTGATTCCGGGGACCTAAGAATAGGCTCCATTTGTCAAGGACAGCAGGGACATACAGGAAGCTGACAACAGGAAAGGAGACAGGTGGTGTTCTGGTTACCTAGTGCCACTCTAACAGGAATATACCACAAATGGGATGGCCTTAACAAACAGGAGATTTATTCTCTTACAATTTGGAGGCTTTAAGTCCAATTTCAAAGAGCCAGGCTCTAGGGGCTGGGTGAAAGCCCCTCAGCCTTGGGCTTCAGCTCTGCCTCCTGCTGTTGACCCACCAAAGCTAGAGGCTTTTCTTCACTCAGACAGCTGCTGGCTGCTGAGGCTTGTCACAGTCTTGATGTTACCAAACCACATGGCAGGCCATTAATTCAAATCCATTGAAAGTCCTAAGGTCAACAGAGCATGGCAGGCTGCTGAACAATGATAAAGCTACTTGCAGGATTCAAGCGTGTCATAAGTTAGAGACCATTCCCCAAGGCTTCTCCTTATATATGGGAAGCAGACCACATCCCTAAAGCAGCTATTTAGCTGCTCACAGTAGATTCCACCATGGAGTTGATTACCAGTCTCATCATGGGGAATACTACTTCCAGCTGCCCATCCACTCAATCATGTCCAGCCAAGTTGACACACGAACTTAACTACCACAGGTGGCGAGTGTATAAGTGCTGCCAACTAGCGAATAGAGACATACAGTACCCTGCTAACATAGATAACATCCAAATAAAACAAAAATCATTAGCAAGTCACTCCAATGTACAATCACCAATTAAATATAAACACAAAAATGTCAAATGTCTCAGAGACAACACAGTGTCTCATGGTCCACACAAAGAAGCAAGATAAAGCAGGAGAAACAAGGGGCCATGATACAGACCTAGAACACGTCCCTGAGGAAGAAGCAACATTAGAACTCCCTGATAAGGAAATTCAAAAGAATTACGCTTAGGTACTTTGAACAGATTGAGAGACAAATCAAGGAGAACACTGATAGAATTGAGGAAAACACAGAAAAAACCCTAGAACAGTTGTGAAAGACAATATAAGAACAAAATGACAAAAATGAAAATTAGAAACGATGCAAAATATGCAGATAGAAATCCAGAAGATTAATACTAAATTGTCAGAAATAGATAACACATTGAATGGGGAGAAGAGAATTGAATCAATGGAAGACAAGAGTTAGTGAGATTGAAGACAAATACCTCAATACTTCTTTGGAAGGGATCAATCAGAAAAAAGATCAAAACAAAATGAAGAAAGCCTAATGTTCATGTGGGACACCATCAAAAGGAATAATCTATGTGTCATCGGAAATCCAGAATAGGAAGAGACAAATAAAACCACAGAGAAAATTTTCCAAGATTTGTTGGAAGATAATTTCCCTGGTATGATGAAAGATGAGAATATATCCATCCAGGAAGTCCAACGAACCCCAAACAGGGTAAACCCCAAAAGAAAATCACCAAGACATACCGTCATCAAACTCATCAAAACCAAAAACAAAGAATCTTGAAAGCAGCAAGGGAAAAACGAGAAGTTAACTACAAGGGGCAACCAATTAGACTAAGCTCAGATTTCTCAGCAGAAACCATGCAGGCAAGAAGACAATGGGATGGTATATATAAAACCCTGAAAGACAAAAATTTCCAACCAAGAATTATATCCCTAGCAAAACTGTCCCATAAATATGATGTTGAAATTAAGAGATTTCCAGATAAGCAGAAATTAAGGAAATTTATTAAAATCATACCAACCTTACAAGAGATGCTAAAGGGAATCCTTTTGACAGAGAACTAGCAACAGCAGACAACTTCCGACCATTAACACACATGATGACATAACCCAGAAACCAACCCAGTTATGGAAGTATCCAAAGTAAATAAGCCTACAAGATTGTAAAGAGGGAACCAGAGAGATAGTTGACAAATGAGGACAACTACAAACCAAAAAGAGGGAAAAAAATGTGTAGTTAAATAACTTCTAAATGGTAGGGAAGTCAAGACAACTACAAGAAAGAACGGACTGTTCTAAACTTGCTTAGAAAATTATAAATCACAGGGTAACCTCAAAGTAAAAGTGCAAACCTTCTCATGAGAATAAAAAAGAGGACCAGCATGAATATTTAGCAAATACTAAAACAATAGCAACAAAGGAAGTGATAACACAATTCATAAACAAAATGAGCTCAGCACAGAAAAGTATATGGAACAAAGAAATCAGCAACACCACATAAGAGCACATAACAAAATGACAGCAACAATTCATACTTGTCAATAATTACACTGAATGTCAAAGGATTACATGTACCACTCAAGATGCAGTGAATAAGAAAACATAACCTGTCAGTATGCTGTCTACAAGAGACACACCTTAGAGAGAAAGACAAAAATAGACTAAAAATCAAAGGTTGGAAAGAGATATATGAAGCAGATGGCAACCATAAAGGAGCAGGAGTGGCAATATTAATTTCTGGTAAAATTGACTTTAAGACAAAAACCACCATAAGAGACAAGGAAGGACATTATATAATGATTAAAGGAATGACTGAACGAGAAGACATAATAATAATAAATACCTGTGCACCCAATGAAAGAGCCCCAAAATATATAAACCAGATTCTAATGGAACTGAAAAGACAAATAGATGGCTCCGTAGTCATAGTAGGAGACTTTTATACACTACTTTAAACTATGGTACATACACACAACAGAATATTATGCAGCACTAAAGAATAATGTAGAATCTGCAAAACACTGCATAACATGGATAAAGTTGGAGGACATTATGCTGACTGAAATAAGTCACACAGAAGGACAAATACAGTATTAGTTCATTATGTAACAAGTCAAGGAAAGGTTTATAAATGGAAAGAAATTTTCTTTGTTGGTTACCAGGGGTAGCCAACAAAGAACACTGGGCAGGGGGAATACATTGACCTGTGTCTCTTTAGTTCTGGATATTTCACTGTACATAAATTATATTTCAATAAAATATTAAAAAAAAAAAAAAAAGAGTCTGCCCACTCAGGGGTTTAATTGGTGGTTTTAACTAGCCTTCATCCCCAGCAAATTATAAATGCCATGAGGAAATGTTGTATCTGTATTATTTTCTACTCTAAACTAGGGCCTACTATACTTTTAAGTACAACAGATTTTCAGTCAGTATTTGAATAATAGGGTAGCCCATTTTCATCCCAAATAAGAGTGCTTTATGGATGGAATTGAATTTTATAAACAGAAAGTCATCTATGTGTCAGGTCCAGTCTGGAAAGGGAAAGCTACAGTTTCTAATAATGTGACCATGATGATGATGATGCTAAATGATGACAATTTCTACTGATATATTACATTAAATTTGTGATAGTGCTGTTATCTGTTGAACTTTAAAGTAAAATAAACTATTTGACATATTGACCATGTGTAATAATTTAGTCAAGCTAATTTGAAATATATCGGTTTTAAGAGTGAGTTAAGTACATCATTAACATATAAAAACTAAACCAAACTCACTGTGGAGTCGGACCCTACTCATTCTACCTCTCCTTGGGTTTCCAAGGCAGTGTCACTATCGAACTAGATTGCCCAATCTTCCTTCCATGGAGTGGCTGGTGGGTTTGAACCACCAGCCTTCTGGTT